TATCCTCGGAGAGAAGAAAATATGATCGTTTGACTCACTATAGAGTACTTAGTGTAAATGTGTCCATTGTAACTTTATAATTCTGTGGCAATTAACTAGTCTAGAGTCAGTTTACATATAAAGTTGGAAAACTCTTTTGCAGGTTTTTCGAATACAAAGTCACTCCCATCTGTTGCAACTGTAACTACTGGCTCATTGTGCACTACTTCATCTGTTGGTGTAGTTACATCTCCTCCACCAGCATCTATTAATGGTAATGGGTTATCATTGTGCATGATAGTATTGTACCAGCAGTCTAGTGGTAACATGTATTTGTGGCAAGCAAACACGAGATATACTGGAGCATGGAGCAATGATTGCAAAGTTTTAGTTATGTGCATGTGTGTATTTGGATCACATTAAAAAAAATTACGGTAAGGGTGGGAACTACATGAGTAGCCTGTGGAACCACGCACAGTCCAAAGGGTACGTTGGCTCACTTCACTCACCAATCAGTTTTAAAAACCTTATCATGCAGAATCAGTGTAAAATTATTAAGTATTTCTCCATTTTCCCCAGATGCAGCACGGACTACACCATTTGTAACTACATGTGGTAATACGCTTCCTCCTACCTCAACACCTATTGATAAACAAATTGGAGAGTCTATGAACACTTTTATCACAAATTCTGCTTTTGTATCAACTTCATCTGTCAGTGTGACACCTGGCTACTCATTTTCAATTTCATCAGCCAAAGTGCAGATCCAGCTACTGATGGTAATGTCTTAATTATGTGTGCCGAGGGTTAGAAAATGTCCACAGATTTTTACACAAAACAGAGGTTATGAAAAGCATACTTTGTAACAAATTTCCTAGAGCCTCTTTTGGTTGCAACTTCATCTGTTAGTGTGACACCTACTGGCTCGTCTGATCCAACTGTATCAAACCCTGATGGTTTAAGTCCGAACGGTAAGATTCCTCAGTTTTTGGTTTGAGTTTTTAAAACCAATTCTCAAATTGCAGATTCCAGATTTGACTATACTTGGATACTGATCCTTCTCTCGGCAATTATAACAGCATTAATTCTGTTTTGCATCATAATCTTCTGTGTTTGCGTCTGTCGGTAAGTCACACCCTTACTGAACACATATAAGTAATGTAAGGTTGTAAGAGAGGTGAATGGCTTTCTTCACCGAGTTACTTCAGATTAACTAGGGTCACACCCTACTATACACTTGCTAATGTAAGCACACAAGCGAGGCACAGAATAGCTTTCTTCACCGGGATACGTGAAACTAATGTCACACCCCAACTATATACAGTGTTTTATATTATGTATCTGGAAATTCTCTTTCACCAGGAGGCGATTTTGTACTAAGTCAAAGAAGATGTCCCTCAAGAGGCTGAGTCTGTCTTTTGGTTTTGAAAGCTTCCACGGGTTCACTCCCTCTTCTCTCCCCATTAACCCCATTTACGTCTCCCACAACGGCGAGGCTATTGAGCACGCTCTCTCCACAGAGACAACAATGATCGGTATGTCGATTAAATTTTTAGTGACGTAAAATCGAACTGACTCGGATTGTGTTTTTGGTTTTCCATCACAGAGCCACCGATGGCACCTATTGAAGAGAAGACTGGGGATCAGGACATTTATTTGCTCGACATTGAGGTAAGGGAAAAAGTATACAAGCAGAGGATACTTAGCTTTTATTTCTCTCTCAGGGAAGTGACGACTCCCCTGCACTGAAGAAAAATGCCTTCTTTGATCCAATCTTGGCAGAAATGTTTGGAGATTACGTCACCCGATGTCACTCCAGTGACAATAGGGACTTCAAACATCAGTTTACAGTGAGATTGGATTGAGCAGTTGCATGCACAAGGCAGCACTAAACTACACCTGGACTCTGTTTCAGGTGATGCAAGACTGTGGTGCAGGCTTTTCCACAATTGCTGGATCTAACACAAGTCTGCAAAAGCTCAACAGATTTGCCAATATCATGCCGTGTAAGGCATTACTGTTGCCATCTGTGCTATATTCATTGTGGAACATGTCAATCCAGATGTGCAGTACAGTTGTCTTGAATCTACTGCACGAGTGTAACACCTATGTAAACTCTTGCTCACTCCTATGTATAGGGATACAATTTTGAGCACAAGTTCATAGCAACACAAGGTTAAGACAAAATAGTAGCCAGGTTGTCTTTGATGCAAGGTGTTTACTACAGGACCACTGCCTAACACAACTGTTGACTTCTGGAGGATGGTGTGGCAGGAGAGGTCTCGGAACATTGTGATGGTCACCAATCTGGTGGAGGGAAATAGGATCAAGTGTCACAAGTACTGGCCAGAGACTGGGACCCTGTCCTTTGGCCCCTTCAATGTCACCATCATAGGACAACAGATACTGGCTGACTACACCACTCGGGAATTTAGTGTTCAGGTAATGCACACGTTGGTGTGTAGAAGCATCGTTATAATTATTGAGTCTCTCCTACAGCTGACGGAGAGTTCAGAACCAGCTCTGAGTGTGACTCAGTTCCACTTCACAGCCTGGCCTGACCATGGAGTGCCTGACTATGCGACTTCACTTCTGGCCTTCCACAAGAAAGTGAAGAAACATCATAAGCCATTCATGGGACCAATTATTGTCCATTGCAGGTACAAGAACTTGCATGGTAAAAGCTTAAACGATTCCGTTGCCTATTCAAACAGTGCTGGTGTGGGGGAGGACAGGGACTCTGATAACTATTGACTGTGTTCTTGAGCAGCTGCAAGAGGAGAAGGTGGTGGATATAGCTGGTGTCATCATCCACCTCCGCACACAGAGAATGAAAATGGTCCAGAGCTTGGTGAGTGGCGCAACTAGTAAGGATGGGATATGCCATACACTGCTTATGTAACTTTGTATCACTATCTGGTGTGGAGGTTACCCTTTTCTATGTCACTACAACCCACTATAGAATTTGTGATTCATTCCATTGCATCGTTGTAGTAGTATGCTTTGCACAGCTATTCCAAATAAATGACCATATTTAGTGTTGCTGTTTAACACAGGAACAATATATCTTCATCCATGATGCTATCCTTGAGGTCCTGATGTGCGGTGATACCCAAATTGATGCTGCCTGTAACCTCCGCAGAGTTACTCAGAGAATGAGTGACTGTGACCCACAAACCAATCTCAATGAGTTTGAAAAGCAGTTTAAGGTGAAAGGAATGCGCAGTAGCTATCATAAACTGAGCTGAGCTGTTTTTTTTAAATGCGTAGGTACTTGAGAAGGTTTCTGTAAAGCCAGAAGAGATTACAAGGAATGAGGCTCTTCGTAATCCCACCAAGAATCGGAGTGACTACTACCTCCCTGGTGAGTTTTACCAGCTTCATGTGTGTGAGTTTCCTTTGTGGGTGAAGAGTTGTGGTGTGTTGATCATCATTTCTCTCTCCTTCTCTGTCATACTGTAGGTGATGCCTGGCGTGTGACACTAAGAGGAGATCTCCAGACTTATATCCATGCCGTTTTTGTTAATGTATGCACTCCTTTTGGTGACACTTTTATTTCATCAACTGCATTTTTCTTTTGCAGGGGTACAAGCAACAGAGAGCATTCATCATGGCTCAAAGTCCCATGGAGTCCACAGCCAGAGATTTCTGGAAGATGGTCCACGACAGGAAGTGTGGAGTCATTGTTATGCTCTGTGACTTGGTGGAAAATGGGCAGGTAGCGAGCCCTACTCTGGCACAGTGACTCTCATAGCTACAAGTGCTATTGAAAACTGCAGGAGACGTGTTACCAGTATTGGCCTCAGACTGGACTGATTCAGTTTGTAGGCTACAAGGTTGATCTGATGGAGGAAAATGTCATGGAGGGATTCATCATGCGCAAATTAAGCGTCTATAGTGAGAAGGTATTGAGGAAAGTTTTCATAATAATATTACGGTAGAAATATAATTTGGGGTTATTTTTATACAGGCAAGCCGTACCCACCAGGTAGTTCAGTTGCACATGACTAACTGGAGTCCTGATGGCAGCTGCTCTCACCTGGCCACCATCACCAGTGTGATAAATGAGATGTCTGCAATTCAGAGGAGAACTGGCAACCATCCTGTTGTAGTACACTGCAGGTCAGGGACAGCTGTCAACAATATCTGTAGTGGGCCATTGAATTTGTGGGATGTGGCTATCAGTCCATGGAATGGAGAGTCATTGTCCTGAACAGTGGTCACCTATGGCACGCTGTTTGTGTCAAAACGATTTTTTGCTGTATATAAATCTCAGTAATCGTGGCGACGAATCGTTTTCTGGGCAACGATTCTCCTTTCGTAGCGACGATTCTTCTTTCGTGGCAACGGATTTCTACGGCTAAGATTGTTTAACAAGCGACGAAAGCTTCTCAAGGGAACTAATCTTGGATTTAGGGAGACGACCAATTATGCGGCACATAATTTTCTAACTGCGACGATTATTCGTGATCCAGGTGGGAGAGTTCAAAGTTAACTTACTCGAAACCAGTATATAGCAGCAGGACTTTGGAAGGGACAGATCAATGTACTGTATTGGCTACAGGCGCCCTCTAGGAAAGTTGACCTTTCAACTCTCCCTCCCGATCACAAAAAAACGTCTCAGTGATCGCCTTAGATGGTCACCGCCTCAAACCAAGATTTTTCGCCTTTATGGCAGAATTCTGTCGCTTGATAAACGATCGTCGCCGTAGAAATTTGTCGACGCGAAAACGATTCGTCGCCCTGAAAAAGATTTGTCACCCCGATTACAGAAGTTTACGGAAAAAATCGTTTTGACACAAACGGGTCACCAGCCTTTTGGAACCTCTGCATTCTCTAGTCCTCCCCCTAGCCATGCTGCCCAGCAACTATCAAACCTACACTGAGTGTGTCCTTGTATTGTTGAGGTATATACTGTCAGCAGCCTATCTTGGGCATGGGAAGGTGGCTACAAGATTGCTAAAGCAATTGAACTAGGTAGTGGTTTTGCTCAACAATGTCTCATTTGCATTTTGCAGTGACACAGTGGGTAGGTCGGGGATGTTCTGTGCCATAGTCACCACCATTGAGAGGTGTAAGACAGAGGGAGTGGTGGATGTGTTCCAGGTGGTCAAGGCTCTCAGGATACAGAAACCTGGAGCTGTCCTCACTGTGGTTGGTTATCTATCCACATAGTATTAGATTGTACTTTGTTTATCTTGCTTTTTACAGACCCAGTATCACTTGTTGTTTGAAGCGATTTTGGCCTATTTGGATTCATTTGACGCTTACTGCAATTTTCTAGACCTCTAATCTCTTTCTCAGATATTACACACCAATTGTTGTGCTTGTAATGAACACTATTATCACCTTTTGTACAGTGACTCCAGTGTACACTATGTTCACTAGGGTGTTTCTGTGTGAAATTTGTGAATTGTGATTAGCTGCAGGCGCCTGAAGTGGAACACTTGTATAGCGAGCTTGCAAGGAAATTTAGCGAGCTACGTTTGGGTTAGCGTTTTCAGTATCGTGTTCGTGCGTATTTCGCACGAATAGCGAATGTAACGACGGCCGGACGGAGGGAAGTCCGCTTGGTGCCACACAGTGTATGGCCGGCCATACACTGTGTCAAGCCCACTCAAACCACTCTTCTCTTCCTCAATCTGGTCTGTGATTCGGGGGACTTTTGTAGAGCTTTCGAAGCTTCTGAAGGACTCCAGAGCAGCTGGCCCTGAGGCAGACGAGGTATGCCAGTGCAGCACTAAGGTCCAGTGATGGCACTCTCTCTCAAACAGGGTGAAGAGGCGGTAGAAGACCCCAAGTGTGATGTGCAGTGCTGGTGGGCAGACCTGCCGGCTACCATGTAAAAATGTTGTGCATATTATTTTTTTGTGGTCGAGGAAAGAGGACGCATTCAGCGGCCGCCCACCTCTCCTTGTTGTTTCGAAGTGGTTGCATACCTAATTTGTGTTTTGTTTTTTTAAAGCAGATTACAGATTGTTGCTTTCACTTACACTGCAGCTCTCTGTTTCATGTACGATCCACCGAAAGGGCCTGACTGATGGTGTGCGGTGCTTACTGATGGTATCATAGCATGAGCGACACATAAATGTTGGGTGTATATGTGCTATGGTCATCTTCCTCCACAGAGATGCCAAACACTGACTGGAGACCTTCCTTCTGTGAGAGGCAGGTGTACTGTCGAGTGGCCCTTCCAGATCTGGCTCTCTTGGCTCTTCCTCCACACACACGACAGTGGAGATCGAGCGTTTCTTGTGCCAGTCTGCCATAGCTGTGCAAGCCTGTGTATTATGTACATATTTTGTACTGGCTTTTCCCTGCTATTTGGAGTGGCGCCACTAAAAGCTTTTGTTTTCACAACTGTTTTACTCTTATGCAAGCCGTTTCTAGTGTAGTATATACTGCGCAGGAAAACTTACAGGGCTTCAGTGTGACTGTCCAAACTATGCGGTTCTTTGAACTCCTTTTGCGGTATGGTAAGATAACAGCTGCTCAGTTGCGGAGGACGCGTGGTGGCTCTGCGCACATCACTGTATTGTTAGTATAGTAAGGAATGTGCCAGTAACTACTTCCGTTAGTGGATCTCCTGGAAGGAAGTGGTGGAAACGATCGCTGGGAAACCGGCTTCAACCGGACGGAGACTCATGAATAATTATTAGATACCGTATATATCGCGCACACGAAAAATTAACGTCTCAAGCCCAATCCATGGGGCGGGCGGGCCGGGCCGGCACAGAACGCCCACGTGCACAGTCGGCTGACGGCTTGCGGCGCGGCAATTTCTTTGCACATGCCGAATTAGCCATTTTTCTAGATATTGACTTCACCAAGTAGCTAGTTGAGATCCATGAGAGGTGGTAATTGCTTCAACCCTCATGAGAAACTGAACTAAATGGTATAGGAGCAGCCGAGGGTGGGTGGTAATGCACTAGTTTGGGAAGGGTCGAAGGCATCAAAACCTTCTCGGGTATATATTGAATTCCAACCAAGACACATGTTAAGTGCATGAACCCTTCATGCGTGAGGTACACACAAGCGTCGTGGCGATTATTAACGCTCGGCGCGCTACGAGGCGGCCCATTAGCGATACCAGCGGCTTCAGAACTACGCGGGCCTGAAAACTAAAGGGCGATTTTCCTGAAACGACTGCGTTCGAGAGCAGCAAACTGGCACGGTCACGGACCGCGTTGCGTGGCCCAACCGCGGTGCGCATGCGTATGTTAGACGCGATCAACGCGGTATGCTGGCTCACCTCGACCTGATCCGCTTGCTCTGTGTATATACCTTGATTGGAGGCACAGCGAAGGGCATGTATCGACTCTCTCATGCTATCTACTACCGTAGCTCGCCCGTGTCAGACTCTCCGGTAGTAGCCCAGCCCATCATTAGCGGTACCGCGCACGCGCAGTTACCCGAGGGTTTGCACTTTAGTGTACGCACTTATATACGTACGTTACGTCGTAATAAGGGGGCCGTATGTTCCAAAACTAATTCTCGAACAAAGCATGTCCACTATAATAATATATAAATTTGCTGCAAAAATCGACGACATTTCGAAGACATGCCGTGACATTTATGATTCCACTGAATCTAATTGACACGGGAGGGGTGGCAAAGGACGCTTGAGTGCCGCCGTATGCCGGAGTCCGTTTCAGGAGTTTGGCGCATGCGCACGCCACACACGCAGCTTCATTCTCTGGTCGATTTATAAAGTAATGTCTTCGTCGATTTATAAATATCGTCGTACCCTTAATATTGCAGCAAATTTATATATAGTGGACATATTACCTATGCATTTTTAACAAACGGCGCCTCGTAAGTCGTGCATTACGCGTAAGGATCGGGTGGCGCGGCGTATGGATGAAGGAGTTCAAGTGTTGTAAGATGACTTTCAACTTCACAGCCTTTCTCACCATCTGGTTACTCGTAGGAGTTAAAAGCTATGAAAGTAATTGCATTAACAATTCCTACCACTGGCAGGGGGGGCACAGGGTGGAAACATGGCAAGGGCACAGCTCTTGCTGTGATAGTCAGGGGTGTGTTTATCACTGTACGCATGACTGCTGGAAACCTCTGCCCTTGCCATGCTGACCAGGGTATTGGTGCTCAGCCTGCCTAGCCGCACCAACACTCGTTAATGTGATTTGCCCTATCTCGACATGTGGCCCCAGAGCTAGTAACAAACCCCCGGCAATGTTTGTGGTCCCTGCAGAAGCCTTTTTGTTAGTGTGCTGAGAACTAGGATGAAAGGTGGAGATAAAACGATTGGAAGTGCATGTCCCCTACTAATACTTTTTGAAGCTGTTAAGTGCTTTCTCTACAAACAAGAAGGCTACTCTTGTGATACATGTAGCATCGAGGCGTTCATTGTGCACCAGTCCAGTAGATAGCAATGTCGATGCCTATTTTACCTCCACACTGTATGTTTTTGCTGGTGTGTGTTCTCTTTCTTCTACTTCTGATTCGACACTCATAACTAAAAAAACAGCAGTAATGGAATTTGGAAGAATGTAGCTAGATATCTGTCACTCAAAGAGACTAACGAAGTAATAAAAACTAATAGAGGGCTCAAGCTATAGGCAGCTTGTAAACCGTTTGTTGGTATATGCAATTTTTCCTGTGCAGACATTGATGAGTGTGAACTTGGATTGGACAACTGTGACGAAAATACTAACTGTACTAATACAGTAGGCAGTTACATATGCACATGCTACTGCGGCGATGGAAGAAATTGCACTGGTGAGCTTTGTGTTGTGAATTACTCAAATTCTCATGAGATTATATGCTTAAAGAACGATACCAACATAATGAAAAGCACTAAAGTGCAAACCCTTGCTGAACTGCGCATGCGCGATACTGCTAATTGATGGGCTGGGCTCTTTGTATGCATTTTCTTGTGGTTTTCCGCCAGTAGCTCGCGGAGAGTCTGACATAGGCTAGTTACAGTAGTAGATAGCATGATGGAGTCGATACATACCATTCGTTGTGACTTCCTGAGCCCCCAAGGTGCACAGAGAGAGCAGATTTGCATTATTGCACCCTGCACTAAGGCTCTCAACACTCCATAAGTTACCACTAGTTGTGGAAATACCAATGTGGCGTCATGGGTTTATGGACGAAGAATGATGCCCCATGAGATTGCAGGTATAACAACATTGCCGCACCCGTGGTTAATGAAGTGCAAATACACCTGTGCATGTAAAACAACACCTCCATACCAGAGGAAATGTAGTGTAAATCCTTGGATGACACAATTTTTTGAGAAACACTACTATATTTATTCCCCAACCCTAGACCTCTTGCAGTAGAACCAAAACACAATAGAATGCACCCATACAAACTCAACCAGAAAAAAACTGTTAATAGTCAAACAGCTTCTGCCATAATTAAACCCCAATTTATGGCGTGATCATTATGCGCAACCCGCCAGCGCATGCGTTTATTTTTCTCGCTTCCTATATACTGCAGTTGGTGCAGTCTGGATACAAGAGGGTTACATGGTGTATGGTGCATCGTATAAGCTGAAGGAGGAACGTATAGGCTCGATTTGACGACGGCGCGCATGCGAAGCGAGGGGGTCTGTCTGTGTGTGTGTGTGTCTGTTACTCTACATCTCACTTCTCGGGTCTTTGTTCGTCTCACAAAAGATATGACCTTAATTAACGGGCAATGTAGGTGAACAAGTTTCTCTGAAACTGCTCCGTTGCAAAGCTAGAGCGCGAAAAAGCCACTATATATACAAATTCAAAACCAACGGGATGGTCTACCAAGGTCTGACCGATCCGCGTGCTCTGCGTACCTCGGAGGCACCAGAAGATGCAACGCAGGGCCTCTCGAATGGATATAAATGAAAGGGGCGTGGTTATACGTGCGCTATTCGTTGCTTGCCGCCCCGGATGGATCATGATTGGAGCCGGACCTCGTCTAGGGCTAGGACTAGGGCATCGATTGGTTTAGTCTGTTGCTGCCCCCTAGCCCTAGCCTTAGGCGAGGTCCGGCTCCGATCATGATCCATCCGGGCAGCAAGGCATCTTCCGGCTCCGATCACGGGCGTTACGCTCACGTATGACCACGCCCCTTTCATTTAGTACGCGGTGCCGTTCTTTATACTTGATCCTCCTATCTAGTAACTCTGTCAAGAGAGTAACAGCTAAAACTAAACCCAGCCCAGCAATTAGTGGTACGGCGCATGCGTTTACGTACGCGTCACAATGGGCGCCGAGGGTTCAGTTTACCCTCGGCGCGCATGCGCAGCGAGGGTTACAGCGTCTGTCCCTCTGTTACAACGATTTCTGCCGCCACGCGCAACAAACAGGTAAAATAGCGATACCAGCGGGTTCAGCGCTACACTTGCTTTATTTCGTAAAAGTGCCGCGTTCAGAAGTTATGGCGTGAAAACCAAGTGAACAAGCTAATTAGCACTGGCTTATCTCGACCTGATTCGCTTGCTCTGTGTACCTTGGGGGCTCAGGAAGTCACAACGAATGGCATGTATCGACTCCCGCATGATATCTACTAGCCCGTATCAGACTCTCCGCGAGCTACTAGCGGGAGACCACGAGTAAACGCGCGCGCATACAAACAGCCCAGCCCATCAATTTAGATGCGCAGTTCGACGTGGGTTTGCACTTAGTACACACTCACACATGAAGATGAACAAAACTCCCTATCGTAGCCATGATGCTGGGTACCATGCCCATCCCTATAATATAGAGTACACACTTACACACGAAAACGTGTTTACTAAATCCAGACATCGATGTTAGGTGACCGTACCACCATTTCCCCGCGCAACCCGTGCACGCACAAGAAAGTGCATGTAAATTCTGCCATAACGTAACGGGCTCTAACACATATCGACTTCACGGCCTCAATTTCTAACTATTGTGTTACGTAATTTTTGGGCCTTTTCTTTATTTTTTGGTGCTTCAGACATCCCATTTCATTTGGCTTTTTTTACATTTCTTAGTTTCAGACACAAGTATGGGAATTCGTCTTGTTGATGGTAATGAAACTTCTGGCCTGGTTGAGGTACTTCGCAATTGTGAATGGAGATCAATTTGTGATGATTATTGGACCGATGAAGATGCAATGGTAGCCTGTGGAAAATTGGGATTCTTGCCTTACGGTATGCATATTGTTGCACCTGTATAATATCACTTGCTCTCAGATTCAACATGTGATACAAATGTATTTCCCCCCGAAATCTGCTTGCTTTGTATACGTGTCCGCAAAGCGAGCCCATCAAAGGCATTCTTGACAGTATTGTATGACATATGATTGTCGTCCAGTGTGCTCACGAACTTTGCGGCAGTGTGATCTTAACCAGTTTCTGGTTTCGTTTTTTTGTGAATACCGCCAGCCTTAAATATCTTTGAGTGCTAAAGCTTGTATATTTAGCCGTGTGCAGCAGTCTGGCTGAGTACAAGTAAGCAGTAAAGGAACAGGAATGTAAGGAAATGGAATCTTGAGACTCCTTGGTAGCTGGCTTCACTTATTTTTGCTCGTAGCGCTTGAACCGTGTAGTAGAGTCCTACTCTCTGTAGTAAACACTGAGCAAAGTCAACATAACGTTAACACGACTCACACGTAATTTTCAAGTGATAGGCAGTTGTGTGTGGTGGCAGAAAACGGGGCAACAGACCTTTGACAGAATGATTTTATTATTACCATCACTGCACATAACTGCGAGGGTTAAAATGGAAAGTTAAATGGATATTATTCTTGATTTCTACTTTATTCAGCTGCTGGATCATATCGTAGGGGAATATTCAGAGATGGTGAAGAAGTGCAATACTGGCTAGATGATGTACAGTGTACGGGTAACGAGGTGTCGTTGTTTGATTGTCCACATAAAGACACCCATAACTGTGGTAGGAGAGAAAGGGCTGGAGTCCACTGTCTGGGTATGTTGAATAAAGCAGCTGTTTTATTCTCTTGGTGTCCTAATTGCACACTAAACTGAAAACTGTGTTTCTGAACCAACTCTGCACTTAAACAAGACCAGCGTCTAATAACATGTCCGCATCTATAGCTAATGCATGCCAAACACTGAAGGCACTGAGTTTTTGCCTCACAGTATCAATGGTGATGGTGATTGTGTGATTTACATGACAATTGTACTTGCAAACCATTACAGATACGGATGATGTTGCAATACAGCTGGTTGAAAACACAACTCTTTATTCTGGAATTATTGAACTAAGAATAAGAGGTGAATGGAGATCAGTATGTCATGATAAATGGACTGACAAAGACGCTCAAGTGGCATGCAGATCAATGGGACTTCCATTTACTTGTAAGCTCTGCAATTTTGTCTTGCATTTTTGTGAGGGAACGAGTAGCCCAACATTTAGTAGTGATTCAGAAGTCAAGTGTAACTAGGTGTATGGTCTCCTTTTGCATGCACAAGTGTCTATAAATCCGAAGTTCGTGCACGAGCATTATATGACCTAGACTTTTAAGTAAAACTCATGCCAATTTGTCACATGCTCAACAAGCTTTTTACCAAGTGATAATTATTTTACTGTGAACAACAGCTACATACAATCTCTGCACATTTTGTTTTGTATTTACATGGCAACTACGAGGGCTATTACATTCAGCCCCAGTGCATTATAATTATTGCAGGTGCTAAAAACGAAATCAATGGAAAGTTTGAGCCAGGTGAAGAAGTTACATACTGGCTATCTCAGGTGAATTGTCAGGGGTGACGAAGAGTCCTTGCTTGCCTGCCTACATAGTGGAATGAAGGCACAGAGTTTTCACCTCACAGTATCAATGGTGATGGTGATTGTGTGATTTACATGACAATTGTACTTGCAAACGTTACAGATAATGATGATGTTGGAATATGCTGGTTGAAAACCACAACTCTTTATTCTGGAATTATTGACTAAGAATAGAAATGAATCGAGATCAGTATGTCATGATCAATGGACTAACGAAGATGCTCAAGTGGCATGCAGATCAATGGGACTTCCGTTTACTGGTAAGCTCTGCAATTTTGTCTTGAATTTTTGTGAGGGAGCGAGTAGCCCAACTTTTAGTAGAGACCGTGTGATTCAGAAGTCAAGTGTAATTAGGTGTAGGGTATCCTTTTGCATGCACAAGTGTCTTTATATAATTCTGGAGTTCATGCACGAGCATTACATGACCTAGAGTTTTAGTATTGAGAGAGAAGAGTAAGTAAAACCCATGCCAATTGGTCACATGCTCAACAAACCTTTTTAGCAAGTGATAATTCGAACAACAGCTACAACAAATGCATACAATCTCTGCACATTTTGTTTTGTATTTACATGGCAACTACACAATTGTGCCAATGAGAGAGGGCTACTACACTCAGCCCCAGTGCATTCTAATTTTTTTGCAGATGCTAAAAAAGGAATCAATGGAAAGTTTGAGCCAGGAGAAGAAGTTACATACTGGCTATCTCAGGTGAATTGTCAGGGTGACGAAGAGTCCTTGCTTGCCTGATGCATTGTGGAGTAGGAAACCATAACTGTGGTAAAGACCAAAGAGCCAAAGTTATTTGCAAAGGTAAGGATATTATTATGCAAGTGGAAATTGCAGTACAGTTTTTGGACTCACGAGTCACAGCCCAACTTGCAACAAGGTCTCACTGGTGGAACACTGTCAATGAAAAGTCCCAAGCCTGCAAGTCGCGCAGCCATTACATGCCTGCTGAACTTGCAGTAAAATGGCAGTGTCCACCATAGAATAATTACACAATCTGAATACTTTATGACCATGCACACCTCTGTCGACTTTATAATACAGCGTTCACATTGTTCCGAGTTAACTGAAGAATGTAATATATATGAGCCGAGAACACGTGGACCTTTAGACATTTTTGGACCTACAGGTCTTCGCCAGTGTTAGAGATTCTTTGTATGCAGATCATGTGAGATTTGATCCATGGCATCCCTATAATAAGATATCTGCACATGCTTTTTTGTATAAACACACCTACCGCTTTCTCTGTTCTCCTCAGATATCGAAGATCGCAAACGCAGAGAAGGTATATACAACTATAATCGTGTTGTTAGGGGAAGGCCATCCCATAACCTTCCAAGCATCCCTACACTGTCACTCTAATAAGATATCTGCACATGCTTTTTTGTATAAACACAACTATCGCTTTCTCTGTTCTCCTCAGATATTGAAGATCGCCAATCCAGAGAAGGTATAATCGTGTTGTTAGGGGAAGGCTATCCCACATAACCTTCCAAGCAAACCTACAGCCATAGCTGGGTTCTGCAGTATCAGTTACTAGCTAATTGCACATTTGGTAGTGGCACCAAGGGCTCCTTTAATTATAACTCCACATTTGCATGTACAGAGCCATAATTGCACAGACGTGACCAGCTACACCAGTGCTCCCCTTCATCCCATACCCACTGTTTCATTTTTTGACATGTCTACTGTTGCTCCACCCATGTCCGTATCACATAACTATGAGAGTATAAATTGTTTTCTCACACATCAAAGTAAGAAAATTGAGACAGCTGCCTTTCAATAGCACCAGACCCACCTTGTGAAGAGCGGGAGACAAGGGTGCTCAGAAATGAGTCCTATCTTGGAAAGAGGGCGAGGGTTTGGTGCAGATTTGTTGGATGGGTCAGTGGAGGTTTGTCTGTGACGATGGATGGGATATTAATGCTGCAAGAGTTTTCTGCAGGGAACATTACTTGCTTACTGAAGGTAAAGTAATGTGTTGTTAGCTAATAATATTAACTTCACCCAAAAAATGGTCAAGAGATTCAAGGGATATCTGATTGCAGAAATGAACTAAATGAGACACTTATGTATAATTTTGAGTGAGATAGCATGCAAAAAAATACCTGCCATGCTGTTTAACTAACCTTACTCGATGTTTAATCTCTGCTTTTTCCACAGACACTGCTATAACTTCTTTTCATTATCATTTTGATATTGATATCAATCAAGTACATTACTGGCTGGATGATATTCAATGTACTGGAGAAGAAAACGACTTGATGGACTGTGAGCATGAACGTCTGGGTGTTCACAACTGTGCACAGGATGAGATAGCGGCTGTCATATGTCAGTTTATATAGTATCATTGAGTGCTGAACTCTGTGTGCATTCATCATATCCATGCAGGCAATGGCACCAAGCAAAGTTTTGTACTTGAACCTTACCCTGGCGGGACAGCACATGGTCCATTCTCTAACGAAGGTCTCAAACAAATAGGTAAGTCTTTAGAGTACTGTCAAGGTAGTCCTTAGGGACTTATTCTCTATGCCAATTTTACTGAAAATACATACTACGCAGCACGGGCATTTAGGGCTTGCTATGCTTGGAGTAAACACTGCATGAGTGGTTAGGCTGGGTTCCCTATGGCTCATGTTTTTAATTTAAGAAAAACGTGTGTCTGTGTTCACATCCATCTGGGCATGTACAGTACATGTATGTGCTCTCTAGGCCCACACCGCTTCACACCCACCTTGCAGATTTTGTTTTCTGTCCCAGATTATGCAATAGGAGCTGTTGCTACAACTGAAGTAGGAGCTATCCGTGGCCTGATTGAATTTGATCTTGAAGGCAATGGAACGATCACTGTGGAGGTCGATATACTGGGACTGAAAGGTTTTCAGAGTGTACATTGTTATACACTTCCAAATGTACAACCCGAGGTCACCACTCTAAAACAGCTATGACACACCACTAATCACAGTCGTCTGTCCCATTACTGTCCAGATTAGAAATCCAAGAGGAAAATTGCATGAAATTAAGGGAGACAGAAATTCATTCAAACCCCACAAAGTTCCTCGGTTGTTAGAGAGTGCCATTTATAAGTGCAGCATTGTGCTGACAATATATGGTGTTCTTTTAGAAATTGTTGGAGTGAATTCGTGCATGGAGAAGTAAAAGTATATGTAGCTAATCCCTTTAGGCATTTCTGTTGCTGGTTTTTGGTGAGGTGTTTTGTTACTAGGTTCTCACCACCTTTGGAAGCAAATTTTACTTAAATTTGACCGTTACCTTTCCTATGGAGTGTTCGAATAAGTAATTAGCGTGCTCTGTTTTGCCCGTTTTTCTTGCACTGTGGAAGACACATAAAAGATAAAAGTTAATTCAACAACTGCTTTTGTTTAGAATGATACCTACTGTTTCCTGTTTTTTCACATTAGAGTGAGAACGGTAAAGCGAGTAGGAATGTGTTGCCAGTGTACTATTGTACGTGTGTGTATCTGTATGTTCATGTTTATACTTCGTTTACATTCACTTCATAACTCTCTTTCAATTCGTTGTGATGTTTTTTAGCCACAGAAAGGTATGATTGGGGAATCAACGATGATGCATGCACAGAGATACCCTTTGATCCAGCTGGGTTTTTGGAAAACTGCAACTATGATAAGCACTGCAGACTTAAAAAGTAAGCGTCCGTCATTCCTTTAACCATCGATGCGCATACACATTGGGGGTTATTGTTGTCAGCATTTCAAAGGTCCAAAAGCCTTTGGTCCATACTCATGCATAGCGTGTCCAATCTGGTGACATCCCTAGCTAGCATATGTCATGTGACTCGACAGTTTTCTGTCAAGCAGTATTTAACCCTTGGCGTGCATGCTGCAGCGAGGTTTACGGTACTGTGTGTGTGTGTGTATCTGTCTGCAGCTATTCTTGCACTACAGGCATAGTATGAGGCGGACTAACAGCAATACCAATGGCTTCAGAACTACGCGAACCTGAAATATATAATGGTGATTTTGGTGTAGCTATTCCAGAGATATGCTGTGAAAACAAGTGAAAAGCCAATATGCATAATTGCACTACGTAGCTTACCTCGTCCTGATCTGCTTGCTCTGTGTACTTTAGGGGCACAAGAAGTCACAACGAAGGGCGTGCATCAACTCCCGCCCGCTATCTACTAGTGTAGCTAGCCCACGTCAGACCCTCCGCGAGCTACTAGTGTGGAGACCATGAGTAAACGCATACTCATAGCCCTGCCAATCAAGTAGCGGTACCGCACATGTGCTG